GGGCATCATCGTTGAGTGCGACCGCTCCCATCGAGCCCTTCGCCCCCAACCAGATTGACGTGAGCAGGAAATTCCGCCCGAGTGATGCGGCCAGCAAGATGACGTACAATCTCGTGGTCTTGGACGGGAAGAAGGACTATCTTGCCGATAGGCAGGCGATCAGACCGGAACTGCGATCTGCCTGATGAGGCTAGGACGTGTCAGATTGTGGTCCCCCACGAAGGGTAGGATGAGCGAGTACGTTCCGGGCTATGACCAGACAGCGGCCACGATCGCAGGGCGGGAGGCCGCCCAGGCTTTGATGAAGCTGCTCACGTGTGACTTTGAAGGTTTGGTCATTAACTCGAAGAGGGTCTCGGAGTTATTCGAGGAGAAGGTGCTGAAGGAGACTGGACGAGAGGCTGGAAACTGGGTAAATGTTGATCAGGCCGTCCGGTTCCTGAAGGAAATCACGGGAATGGAGAACGCTGATGTTGTGGAAATTCTTCATTCCGGCGACCAAGGCTTTCCCGATAGGGCAAGTTGAGGTTATGCTAATGCTCATGTATGACGAGACTGATGAGTTTCAGTGCCGTGAGGTGATGAAGTTCTTGGACTTCAGGAAGGCGGTCCAACTCTAAAAGGTGAGGCGGAATGGAAAGGCCATGATCGAGATATTGATCACAAGGCCCCACGAGTACGAATCGATTGGAGATGGGAGACCGGATGAGGGCCTGGTTCCAATTATGGAGACTATGCGACCCGATGCCGAGGTATCGCCTTCGTGGTACGTCAGGGACAGGCTGCGGAACTACTCGGGTAGGTACGTAGTGGTCATGGTGGACCTTCGGGTACATTGGTCGCTGATTGGGCCTGTGTTTCTGACGAGGAGCAAGACTCTTGCCGTTCGGGACGAGATCCACATGGGTGCGTGGAAGGCCGCGTACATGTTCGATGATTACACGATAGTGTATCATCGCGTTTGGGACTACGGTGACTTCACTCCCGATAGGGGCACTCACATGCGGGCGCGTGTGGATGTCAGGTTGAATGTGACCGGTACCTTCTGTTTGAGGTGCGCGGAGATTACACCATCTGGGATGCACTTGTGCCCTGGATGCGCGCTCACGGTCTTCTACCCGAACTTCATCCCCAACGCGGACGAGGAGGACTTCGCGGGGAGCCGCATCGTCCCGGACTGGGTGAAGAGCATGGGACAGTTCAAACCCAAGAGGATCGCTTCCGATGTGGTCGGGGTTATCAAGAGGAACTTGATTTCCTACTCGATGGCATCTGACCTGAGGATGACGGTGCAGAGCGGCATCCGGTTGCCTCCCTATCTCGGGGAAGATAAGGGCGGGGTTGATGCGGCGTGGGATGAACTGGCAAAGGTGCTCTTTCAGTTTTCCTACGTGTCGGGCATTTCGGCCTCGGATGCATTCGTGGAGAAGCGGGTGGCAAAGCACCTGATCAAAACCAACCAAGTCGATAGATTTGAGTCGGTGACTGAGTACTTCCGAGCGAATCCGGTGCACGCGGCCCAGTGGGGAAGACGTATGACGACTTCCGTTAGGAAGTTCGCCCATCCCGATGGCGTACGTGATTGGTGCTGCTGCGGGTCACCTGACTCCCATGTATCCGACCCATAGGAAGGATGCAGACATCCTGGCTAGCCATAAATTGAGGGCGGACCTCAGGAACTACATGGTCTCGGCGACGGGGTACGACGAGAAGAGAAGATTGAGGGAGGCAGTAGCCAAAGTGCAGAAGGCAATCAATGCTGGGCAATCAGAGCGTCCTGCCCCTTTCCGCGACCCATTCGTCTACGTTAGCGACGATAGGGTAAGGACGGTTCTTGATTGTCGTCAACCGGATGTGAACGTTGACGAGCTCCAGTCGGTGCATCATGCTGCACAGGGTCCTGGTCCAAAGCAGGAGCCGATCGTCAAGGGCGGGAAAGGAAAAGGAAAGAAGGGTGAAAAGGGTGGTAAGGGCGATAGTCCTTCCGACCCACAACCAAAGTCAAGCGAGGTATCAGGAAAAGGACCTGGCAAGGGCGATAGCCCCGCCGTTCCGAAGGCGAAAGCCAAGGCTAACGCTGGACCGGCTCCAATGGAGGTTGACCCACCTGTGGCTCAACCGAAGAAAACTTGGGTCGCGATTGCGGTTGAAGGAGCCCGGCCAAGTGCAAAGGCTAAGATGACTCCAGTCCCGAAGGCCGAGCTGAAGGGAAGGCAGCTTGGGTTCCTGAGGCGAAGAGTGCTCAGGCTCCAAGGGCTGAGCCTAAGGAGACGAAGCAAGCTGACCCGAAGGTTAGTCAAGAAGGAGAAGGTAAGCGGAGACGACGCTCCCGGCGATAGTCGGGGCTCGGCTGAAGGGCACAAGAGAGAAAGGAAATCCCGTTGGGATCCGGATGAGCCTGCGAAGGAGTCGACGAAGCGGGAGGCATCAAAGAGACCTGATGATGTCGACAGCCGGCCATGTGCGGCAGCGAGAGAGGCAAGTGGAGATGATCTTCACTCCGCGCTTGGTATACGTCTTCGGCAAAGGACGCGGTAGCGCCTTTGACGGCCTCCAAGGCGATGGCGAAGAAGCCTGAAGCGAGTGAGGTCAGGCTGCAATCGGCAGAGCGAGCTGCTGCGAGCTGGATGGAAGGACAATTCCGGGCGCTGCCGGAGGATTCAGTGGTGGATGCGTTCCTGGCCATGTCGCCCGATAGGGTGCTGAATAGGCAGGTCAGAGATTTCATCAGGAATGGCGAGAACGCTTCAGCGCTGGAAGTTCTCAACCAGATCGTGGCGAACTCTCGCCTCGGGCGAACGCGTCGGGATTCGGATGTTTCCCGCACTCCCTCTCGGAGGTCCGTTAGGACTCTGGATACCAGGCATTCCCGAGAATCGAGAAGGCGCAGATATCGACCGCGGCGTGATGAAGATCGAGACCGAAGGAGGGACGATGTTCGAGATCGTCGTGGTGATGATTCGCTCGATCGAGAGCGAGATCGAAGGCGAGATGATCGCAGGAGATCCGAGAGGGATCGTGACCGGGACCGTGCGCGGGGCGGACGTGACCGGAGGAGACGTGACGATAGCCGGTAGGTTAAGTCACGGTGATTGGGGCCGATAGGCTTGCGTCCGTTTTCCGATGGTTGGCGCGGTGCGGAGATGATGATGTTCCTTCCGAACCGCTGAGGCGCGGAGATCATGTCTCTCCTGCACCGCTGCTCGGCTGCTGGTCATGCTCATCATGAAGTAGTGTGAGTGAGAGGGGATGCAAACTGGTGGAGGGTACTCCCAGGTTTGCGGAATTGTCAGGATTACCTCTTGCCGATAGGCGAGGGTAGTGATGAACATACGTTATCCTCTGTTTCATGGCTTCTGATAAGAATTGAACTACTTGCATTGTTGATGCAAACAGTTGTGGCCTAGTGTCGTCATGTGGACTCTTCCACGAGGTATGTTGGACAGCGTTACCCCGATTAATTCGGGGTGGTGGCGGGAATTTAATGCCCGGGATGTCGCGCAACTGCCTTTGTGGGTTTGCTCCACCGCTGACGGCGGTAGTGTCCAGCTGTTTGCGGACGCATGCGAGCAGTTAAATCCTATCAGTAAATGGCACGCTCCACCCGTCATATGACGGGCTCCTCGTGAGGGGGGTGTGATTAGCCATGATTTAAACCATCACCAGGGACGTCGCGGTAGTGACTGACCGGTGATGTTTGGCTCAAGATTTTACGGGTTCCGTCGCGCCTCGGATGGGCGTCGCCGAACCTGCGTCGACCGACGGCATCTCGGGGGAGAAAGAGACCTCGGGCCGCCGCCTGGTTGGTAGGGACCATTCGTGCGGCCTGTCGTCGATCAAGGTTGCGTTTCTCTTTTGGTTGTTGTTCTCTGGTGTGTGGCAAACCCTGATCTTTGGGACCGGGGATTGGTTTGCTTTTGGGGAACCTTTTTTTTGTGGCTTGTTTACCCCAACCTACCCATTGCCTGGGCACAGGCTCGTGCCCGAATCACATTTCATAATTAGTCGCTTTGGCAGCTTTTCCGTCAAGGGAATCACGTGCCAAGTGCGTGCGCACATTTGAAACGCAGCCCAAAACGGTAGGATGTTTGAATTTGACAGCACCTCCTGATCTTTGGGCAGAAGATTCGAGTTGGTCGAAAAGTGCTCGGTCCATCCGGCTCATCCAAGGGTCATTCCTCATGCCTTTAGGCACCTGACCCTTTCACTCTATTTGTCAGACGACCTGCCTGTGACTTTTGCTCTCTGCTAGCTCTGCATGACGGAATGAGGTGATTTGGTGATTTCCATCGATTGGAGTGAGAAAACAAATTCACTCTATTGCATGCCTTCTATGTCTGCTTGCTTTCGTGCTTTTGCTTGTTTGGAGCCGCGTGCAACCGCTTTTGTCGGCCCTCAGCCAATCTTAGCGAGTATGTCTGCAGTTGTATGTCTGCTGTTGCCAAGTTGCCGTGTTTTTTCCGTTTATGCTTGTTCTGCAGAGCCACGTACAGTGTGCTTCATCGCAGCGTTTCGTGGCTTTGCTTCCACTCGAATCCTGCTTAAATTTGTTCGGTGCAGGCTACACATTTGGGAAGCTGACATGTTAACAGCCACACGTGCTTAGCGTGGACAGTTAGGCTCCCTGGCATTCTTGTTCGTTTATATGGCTGGGTAGATGCCGGCAATCCTGTTGATCGCCTTATTTTCAACGGAAGGGTTTTGTTACGGGTTTGGTTGTGACCCCCTTCCTTTGCGGTCTGGGGAGCTTTAGTCACAAACAACCGCGGGCTCACTCACTTGAAAGCATTCCGTAGGCGACACTGGGTACCCCTCTTTGTTCTGACCCCGTCCTTATGGTTGAGCATATTGACACGATTTGTGACTCGGACCTTGCGCGTCTGTGAGCTGGATCCTACATTGTACGGGTGGCTGTGCCTGTCTGGCTCGAGTGTTGCGAAGCCCGTGGAAATAAGTCAGAGAGAGTTTTGCAACGTTACATTGTAGTTACATGTTTTGAGGAGAGGTGATCCTGACCAACTGGCCGGAATCCATTCCGTGCGGAGCCTGAATCTGTGCGCTGCCAGCGTCGAGCTGCATGGGCTGAGGCCAGCCGACTTTTCCATGCTGGAGAAGGATCTGCAACTGAGCTCGAAATGCTGTGTGCGTTGTATTGGGTCTTGGGCGTCTTGGGGGTCTTGGGGGTCTTGGGGGTCTTGGGGGTCTTGATGGAAGGTTCGGAATTGTGAGAGATCTGATTGAACTCTATCAAGGCATCGCGTTTCTCCTCTTCGCCAAGCTGCTTGCAACTTTCAAGGCCCGAAGCTCGTTGCCCCATGTCGGAGCTTCGCAAAGCTTACAGGGAACTACATCCGCGAGGTCGTGAAGGCTTGGCTGATATGGAATTCGGCTCAAGCCGATGAATCTCGCATGGAGGACGAACCCGTGGAGATTGATGTGGGCTACCAGCAGGTCGCTGCTTTTGATAGACCTCCAAAGTGATCAATCGGGCAAGCTGGGCAAGCTGGGCCCGGGCAAGTCGGGCTTTTGAGGCCTGGCCGCAATTCATCTGGCCTGGCACGGAGATGGCCTGGTGCTGAGCTCTACTCGCCAGTCGAAGCCGTCGAAGCAAGGTGCAGAAAGAGAGCGGAGAACGCATCCCGAAGCCACCACCTATGCCCAGGCAGTTGAAAGGTGCAGTGTATGACTGGATTGGCGAGCCTTTAGGCACAGACTGTACTTCGAGAAGATGAAGACTGAGACTGAAAAGCTGGAGCAATTTCCTCAGTATTTGAGCACGAAGTCAGTTTCCCTTGTTTCCTCTTCCCTCTTCTCCTCTTTGTTGTGGGCCTCGGAGTGCGTTTGCGCTGTAGCCGTGTTCCACAATGTAGGCAACAGCTCCAGGGTGGCTTGATGTACGATGTGCGGGTACTCAGCTTGCTCGGTCAATGGCGGCAACTAGACACAGACACACTGACATGAGTGACATGAAGGCATTAAACTGCTGTCTTCCTTTCCAAGGGAGAGATCAATGTGCTGTGCTTGCCACGTCATGCGTTGCACGCACCTTTTGCTGAAATCAAGATGTTCCGACGCATCGCCGGCATTTCGGCTCCCAGCCTCACTGAAAATCTGTGAGGACTGCCTTGGTGCGGAGCTGCTTGTATCAATAGTGCAGTGGGTGCAGTGGGTGCAGTGGGTGCAGTGGGTGCAGTGGGTGCAGTCAGGCAGTCTGGCAGTCTGGCACCCGCCAATTCTCTCGGTCAAAAGAAGATACAACCGCGGCGACGAAGTCCAGTTGCGTTGCCGGCTGAGGGCCAGGAACATGGCGTCAAGAGCGACGCTGCTGCTCCTGAGCACCCCGGCTACCCTTGCTTCAACCCGAAACCTGAAGCCAACAGCCAAGGCCTCCTCACAGAGGTGGCCGCGCATGCATGGCATGTACAGAGCGAGATGCCTGACTTTGCCCAGCGAGTCTCCGAGATCGACGCTTGTTGGAACCAGCGAACTTCCGATCGTCCGAACGTGGAGAGCTTCCGATTCCGAGTTCCCAGGAAGCGGGAGGCGACGGAGGCGACGGTCACGCCGCAAGCTGAGTGTCCGCAAAGCGAACTCGATGCACTCGCCGTGCACTCGCCGTGCACTCGCCGTGCACTCGCCGTGCACTCGCCGTGCACTCGCCGTGCACTCGCCGTGACCCTTGTGGCTTTGAGGCAAGCCACGAGCACCACATGCACTTCCCAGATCACCCGGATGGCCAAATTTCCGGGGGCTTCGGTGACTTCGGTGACAGTGATTTCGGTGGTACGTACCATGAGGATTTTCATGATGAGCATGTAGCTTCGATTGCACCCAGCTATTCTTGTTGCATGCAGAACGGTGTAGCCCAGTCATGAGTTGTGCTTGTGCTTGACAGAGGTAATTCACTACACGCAGTCCCATGACCTTAGTAGGCCCATCTTCCATGAGGATCATGCGGCTCGGCTCAGCGGGCAGAATATACATATCTGCTCAGTACTGGCAACGCTCTGGCGATTCCTGACGATTAGGTCATATATCATGATCATCCCCCTGAGCATCATATACATCATGTACATCCGCCCGAGTTCGGCATCCAGGAGGACTTTCACGCGGACAATGCAGCTTGGCTGAGATCCATTTCCCGACGAATCTTGGCATCGCTCTAGTGTCCAGTGTCCAGGGCTTTCACTCCGCGCATCACGTCGATGAATCCCACGATCACCACATCTTCTTTGAGGACTCCGAGTACGACTGCGATGCTGGAGTCTCCAGATGGAAGACGGGCTGGTCCGCAAGCAAGCAGAGATGGCCCGCCTGACTCGCATTAGGTTCTGCGTTGTGTTGATTCAGTCGCATGGCTTGAGTGAATTCAGAGTGGATCCGAGGTGCTGCGCGCACTACATGAAAGGCTGCTCAGAAACGCATCCTGACTTGAAATCAGACTTCGTGTTGGCTGGCGGAGGGAAATCCCGTTAGCTTTGCAAGCTGAGGAATCTCCTCTTTGATTGCGACAGTGGATACACGGACTGGAAGGCTTTGCCGTCGGATATTTGGAAGCTTTGCATTTCTTTGACAGGCGACGTGGTCAGACGCCAAGAAGCAATGGTGCTGCAGGCGCGCCCGGTGTTGCGGTGCTCGTGAGCCCGTGCGCGCGCGTGCGCCAGGAACTTTGCAAAGGCTTGCAGCGTGGCTCCGCACTTCGACTGCGACGCCGGGTTCTGGAACTGGCAGGCGCCAATGCCCAAACTGGGCGAAGTGGGCGAAGTGGGCGAAGTGGGCAACGTGCAATGCACTCGACTCGAAGCAAAGTCGACAGGTCGGCTGGTCCGCCAACAAGAAAGCATGGTGCTGCGAGCGCAGCCACCGTGGCTGCCAATCTGCCTTCCAACAGCAATGGCTTCCGACTGCACTTGGCTTCAGCTATTGGCCTGGCTTCCGACTCAGGTTGGATCATCTCCGGAGCACATCTGCCTGGGGCATGAGGAGCAGTGGGATGCGTGCCCCGATCAGTCAAGGCAACCCGGCAAGCGTCTCGTGTGCGATATGCTTGCCCTTGAGATGTCGTGCCAGGTGCAACCCCTGCACTCCTGTTGACTGCCTCTTTAGCCAGTGGAGCAGGCCGACAAAAGAGCGTTGAGTTCACATCGCACCGCACAAACCGACAACCGTCAGATGGTATGATGGAGCGGACTGCATTGGCCTCAAGTTCCGACACCGCAGCATCGAGGCAGAAGCTTTTGGCCGTACAGCTGACTCGCTGTGTTTTCTTCGCCAGGTACGAAACAATGAATGCGGACTGCCCTGCTTTGGTTCCAAGATGGAATCAGAAGAACTGGATGAACCGAAGCCTGAGTGCCTGAAGAAGAAGCAGGCCTGATCACAGAAAGCTGGACATGCCTGAGCAAGCCTTGCTGCAGGACTGTGTGTTCTCCTCCTGGTCTCAGTGGAGTGTTTGTCAGAATCAGGCGGGCTGGGCCCGGAATCTGAGGTCTAAGCGGAATGACATGGAATGAAATGGAATCCTGAGGCACCCAACGTGCCCTTTTTTTTAGGTACGAGAAAAAAAAGCTCGAATTACCGATTTCTGCTCGACCCCCCAAAAAACGCTCGCCCCCCGAAAAACGCTCGACCACATCCCCTTCTTCCATCCAGAGGAAGGCGGGATTGTTACGTTTTTTTAATTTGCACTCGTTTGCGGATATTTGCGCTCGTTTTGCGGATATTTGCGCTCGTTTTGCACTTCGATTTCTGCTCGCTCCTTTTGAATATTCAGCGACCGATCATCTTGGAGGACCGACCAGCCCGGTTTTGGGAGAAACGCTCGAAGCAGGAAAAAGTGTACGTTTACCATATTTTGGTGACGACCCCTGGTTTTGCAATACGTTTCGGCTAAGGGCAGAAATTTATGTAACGAAGGGTGCTCCGGAATGAAATGGAATGAGATCCTTCGAGGTGGACCAAGCAGTGCGTTCCCGACACGTGGACTTGCCACCGCTGCACGGGGGCGAGCCCTGCGCCTCGGCATTGCTCGGGTGCCGTGTCCCGGGGGGGGGGAGCGTGTCCGGGCCGTTTTGGGGTCTTGTGCGGCCCTTAGCGAAGGCTCGTTTTTTTTTTGAATTCATTTTCCAGGTTTTTCAACTGAGCATGCAAAGCTGAAGCGAGCAATTGAGCCGGAGACGGACTGCTTGGGATCGATTCGCCGCTTTTGAGCCGAGGCAAGGGCAGCAGCAAAGAGACACGTCCTTGCGGCGGGCCTGAGCCGAAGCCCTGCATCTTCTCGCTGCTTGGCAGGATTGCTTCGGCTTTGCTCGTTTCAATCTCATGGCTGGTTGCTTCTTTCACTTGCCTTGCACGGTCCAATGTGCCAATCTCAGGGACTGGCATGAGTGGACATCCTGCAGCGCGAGCTGCGGTGGCTTGGATCGTGTTCCTTCGTCGCGCGGTTGGCGAAGTCGCCTTTGCACTGGAGAGAGCCCTTCACAATTGTTTGGCCATTTGGAAATCTAGCTACTCATGGCTCTGAAAGCAGATGCTGGTGATGTTGGGGATACTGATGCGGGGATGCTGGGGATGCTTGAGATGCTGGAGATGATGGACAGCGCCCAGGATGCTGGCAATGCTGGGCTGTTGGAGATGCAAGTGAGGCGCTTGTTTTGTCATGCTTGCGCTTGTTTTGTCGGGTTGCTGAATGTTCATGAGGCTTTCAGGATGAGCAAACGCGGCTTCTTGACGCATTGGGCACTGAACCAGAGCTTGACAGAACACAGCGACACAACATAGGCATGCAAAGGCCGAGAGGGCATGGCACAAGGGCTGCCTGTCATCATGGAAGGGAGGAAGCCAATTTCGTTTGCGAAAACGGTATGGTTGTGTGCAGGTGGGAAAGAACAAGCGGCATTTGCAGCCGTTCGCGCACTGAGGTGAGGGAACCCATTCTCGGATGCGGCGGGTGGCATCCGAGGAATTCTTGTTCCTTCCTCGTTCTGTGTTTTGCGGGCTTTCTGTGGCAGGACTACCTCAGTGGCCAGACGTGCGAAAACGCGCTCATGGAGACCAAGAAATGCTCGATGGAGCCCTGTCCATCCAGAGACTGCAAGCTCAGCCGGCTGCTCAAGTCTTCAGTTTCAGCTCCCAAGCTCCCGCCGCAGCTGTTTCCACTTGGCTTTTCGGAGAGGCCATTGGTCGGAATGGTCGCCGTGCACGCGGGACTCGCTGCAAAAGACCAGGCCAGCGAGAGCCTGTGGCGACTGTGACTGTGGCGATGCAATGCCGAGAGGAGACGAGATGTGCTGATCAGCCCAGAGGGCCAGGGCATGGGATGCAACGTTTCGCTCGTGGAGGCAGGGTTTGTGTTCTGGGCCGAGTGACATGCTTCTGTGGAGGCCGCAGCATGCGACCCACTGGTGATGTGCTTAGAGAGAAGAGAGTCAAAAGAGAAACGGGCACGGGTAAACGAGCTTGAAGGCTTTGCACGCGGTTTTCGAAGAGCTTGCGCATTTCAAGCTGTCCCGCTTGTGGCACTGTGGAATTCTGCGCCAAGGCTGGCGAGGACTGCGTAATTTCCGAGCCACTTGTCTCAAATCGCGAGTGGCAGAGATCCGATTGCCAGAAGCTGAGGTGGTCTGATTGGAGCAGCTGCGACAAGTCTTGCCATGGGGGCCAGTCCTATCGGCACCGACGGATCATGCACTACAACACCCACGGCGGTTCTTGCGACATCAGCTCCCTGCAGGACATTGGCAAGCTAGGGGAAGTTTGGGAGCTCGATCAAGCCTCATGGTCACGCCGGGGCTGGGGGTGAGATGTGTGTCAGGAGGTGACTTCGTGCAACACGGAGCCTTGCAACGGTGCTACGAAGAATCTCAGCCAGCTGGAGATGACCTAAATTCTTTGAAAACACC